TGGTGCTCTAGCCTTGTATCTGTATAGCAAAAACTGGGATCCACTTAACAATCTCACTCCCCTTTTTTTTGAAAGAGGGGGGATTGTTAAGTAAATTACTTGCAGCGACTTATCGACCAATCAGAATGCTGCAAAACTTGAATTTAAATGCAACGCTTTAATGTGAATTTATAATATAATTTATAATATTTACAGGTGTGGTGAGTCTTTAGTACATACAATAGGGGTGGGGGTGATTGTTAAGTAGATCCAAAAATTGTTCTCCGCAGCACCTTAATAATGTACTCATTAGCTTTTTTTCCATTTAGGACAGAAAAAAGTCGCTTTATGTGCATTAGTCTTATTGATTTTTTCTCAATCTGAATGTATTTTTTGAGCTTTTGAATTGTAAACTTTGATGCAAACTTTTCTTTCAAAACTAGAAATCGATCGCTTTTTGCCATATTTCCTCGTTCGTATTTAAATAGCGCATTTTGACTGCTTTTTAGCAGACGAAAGTGAAGTCAACTAGAAAAGTGCATATACATCTAAGTGAATTCACAAATGCATGAAAAATTTTAAGTGCACTTCAGTAGTTATCAGATCATTTTTTGAATATTTCCGGAAAAACAATGAAAGAAAAGAAAACTATCGTATAAAAGTAATTTTAAATTATTGAGCAGGATGATTCAAAAGTGCGGATTTAAGGGGGCGGAAGCTTCCCCTTTCAAGGATTCCGCCACTTCACTATCCAAAGTGTTCATTTCTTAGTATTATTTCATGACATCCATGTTTCGCCGCAAAACGAAAAAGTAGTGTGAGTTAAAAAGTGGCAATCACAAGTCTAATAACAATTTAATTGGATCACTAAACTCGCCTAGATTCAATCAAAGTCTATTTCAAACAAAAGAACAGCTCGTATTTGGCAGAAGCTTTGCATGTTTCGAAAATGGATGCTTTTTGAAACATTCAGAGCATACATTTTCGAAAAAAACAATAGATAACTCAGTTTTTGTATGAAATTCTCTGAGAAACTATATAATAAAAAATTCAAGATGTTTAGAGTTTTGTTACAAAAACTAGGAACAAATCGTTTCCCGCATTTCAGTTGAGAACGATTTTTAAGCCGGATTGAATGGCAATTTATGCAATAATAGCATGCGCTAATTATCCAACAATGCCAAAACTGGCAACTTTCAAACCCCTGATTAGCTCTTAATAATAATTGTAATTCCTGCGAATCGCAGAGGAGCTATCAGTAGGCCTTAACAGTCCTGTTGAGGATAGTCCATTTGTATTATCTCCTCACATTCCAGACAGTGTTATTTTGCTGAGCGAAGCTGTTTTTTGCGACTCAAGGCCGTTTTTTTTGCGTCTAGAACTTTTACGTGGTACCACTATTGCAGCCAAATTTGGTCAGGTTGTGGTAGACCTGAAGCTGGAGGTCAAGTGAGAGCTTGTCCTCACACACTATCATTGCCATGGCATGAGATCAAATACACGATCTGACGATTTCGAAGTGAACCCCTTACCACTGTGCTAAGTGCTTTCTAAGATAGTTCTTAGAAATAACTCATCATTTCATATCGAAGCTCCAGAAATCAAAAATTTTTAGATGATAGACAAAGTTTCAGTGTAAAACGGTAATTAAATCATCAAAGATTGTCTGAAGGTGAAAAAACACACCAAACAACCCCATTCCGTCAATTTCGTAAAAAAATTTTTTCAAAAAATTATATAAAACACACCTGTGCAGTTTATTTCCGATTCATATGTGAAAACTTAGTGCAATGTTTGAAACGCTAAAGCAAAAATTAAACACATATTTTAAACAACATAATTTAGAAAGCATAATTCACATCAATTTTTTTTCAAAAATGAGGGTTTCTTTGAGTTTTTAACCAGGTTTGGAGTGAAACTCACGTATTTTTTTTTATTTGTGTGCTTTATTCAAGTGTTTTTTTCACCTATTTTTTCGCAAACTTGTGCACGTCACGACAATGCGTCTTTCGAGCTGTTCACAAAGTTTCGCCATGCGATATATACTCGTCCGAATAATATATTCGCCATGCGATTTAAGCTCGACATTGAAAACGCAACATCAAAATTAATTTCAGCTTGTTAATTTTTTTGGAGCAAGTTTGCTTTGCAATGA